GGATCTGGAGCGAGGTGCGGAACTGCGAGAGGGAGCCCTTTGCGTCCGCGTCGGCGACGGCGACGGTGGCGCGCATGCGGAAGAGCGCGTCCTCGTCGGAGTCTACGTCCTCGATGGTAGCGGTGAGCTTGGCCTCGACTTGGTCGACGTAGCCCGTCAGCGAGTCGGCGTAGTCGGTGGCGTTGAAGCGGATGACGGGCACGTTGGCGAGCTCTGCGACGACGAGGCCGAGGATCTGGGCCATTGTGCGGTGGTAGACGAAGCCCGGGTCGCCGAATTCCTTCATCCAGTGGAAGGAGTCGTAGTTGGAGTGGTACTGGTAGACGATGTCGCCGTTCTCGCCGCCGAAGCCGAAGTCGAGGGAGGGGATGCCCGCGAAATCCTGGAAGGCGGTGAAGTCGGAGCCGGAGCCCATGGTGCTGATGCGGCCGTCCCAGACGTCGGCGACGGTCTGGCCGGGGATGGTCTGGTTCGGGGAGGGAACGAGCTGGGTGACCTCGCGGAGGACGCGGTGGAGGAGGGGTGCGGCGGAGGGGTTGAAGTTGGGGCCGCGGACGCCGACGTCGACGTTGACGTAGGCGACGGACGCTTCGGTGAGCCAGGGGAGGTACTCCTCCACCCACTCGGTGCTGCCGATCAGAGAGTACTCTTCGCCGTCCCAGCTGGCGAAGACGATGGTGCGGGTGGGCTTCCAGCCGCTGGCGAGGGCGACGCCGACGCCGCGGATGACTTCGTTGAGAACGGCGGAGCCGCTGTTGGGATCGCCGGCGCCACCCGCGATCCAGGCGTCGCGGTGGTTTCCGACGACGACGACCTCGTTGGGGATGGTACCGTTGACGATACCGATCACGTTCCACAGTGGTGTGGTGGTGTAGTTTTGTTCGTTGTAGAGGTTCAGGACCACGTTATCGGGAGTGGGACCAATGTTGTACTCAACGCCCTTGTACTTGAGTCCGAGATTCCTGTTCCAGTACTTGTTGAAGTCCTTGACGGAGGGGCCGTGGCCGTTGAGAGCCTTGAGAATGGGGAGGGCATCAGCGTAAGAGATCGGGATGGAGGGGATGGAAGGCGTAGCATCGTCGACGGGAGCACGCGGCGCGCCTGGCTTGGAGGGGTACCCAGGAGTGGACGGGTCACCGGGGCGCTGGGAGAGGAACTGGGCGCTTCCGCGCTGAACGGCGCTCGGGTGACGGGCAGGGCCGTTGGGGTACGCCTCGTATCCGTTCTCCTCGGTCACCTTGCCATCATCGCCGGGGTCGCTGTAGAGAAGAGCACCGATGGCACCCAGCTCCTGGGCGCGCTTGATCTTGAGGCCGCGGAAGATACCGCCGTACTTTGCAATGACGATTTTGCCCTCGAGGCTGACATTGGCCTTGACGAGGTCTTCGTAGTCCTGGTACGTGCCGTAGTTGACAAAGACGAAAGATCCGGTGACGTTACCGCTGGCGGAGTAGCCGTGGAAAGTCGGGACTCTGTCCTCCAAGCCGGAAGAGGGGTCTTCTTCGAGGACGTCCTCCTCGAGAGCAGCCTTGAACTCTACCGTCCAAGTAGACTCTTCTTCCTTGGTCTTGGACAGAAGGGAGAGACTATGGTCGATGGGGTAGTTCAGGTAGACGTCGTACGACACGATTTCGGATTGCACACCCCACGACTCCCACTTTTCCTTTGTCCATGCGGCCTGTCACACATTGTAAGATGGTAGTCCCGTAATGACGGCTGCAATATGCTTACCTGAGAGTAGTTCTGGCCCGCCAGATGGGGACCGGCAGTGTAATACCTGCTCCATTCCTCGGCCTTTTCGGATGAGGGTACCTCAAAGAAGATCTTTTGCACTTCCTCGTGGGTAATGGGGACACTGTCGACGCTGTTCGTCCAGGACCAGCCGTGATGGTGGTGACCGTGGTGACGAGGAGGCTCATCAATGAAGAGCGCAACTACGAAGAAGATGGACCAGAAAATAAGGATGGAAGAGAGTGCAACGGTGCAGAACCGGCGCAGGACGTGGTTCGGGTACCTGCGGCGCGGCGCACCGATGTAGACATTGGTGATAAGCGGCGTCCGCTCATTAGACATTTTGTCGTCGAAACGCTTTCTGGATTAAGATCAGCGTGAATATCAAAAGCATGCTCAAACTGCACGTTGAGAGCTCATCGACGGGCGACTCGATGATGGAGTGAGTGATGTGATGTAGGTTACCAGACAGGAGGATGAGACGCGGGAGCACGTGTGGCTGACGAAGATGGTTGCATCATCCCGTCGCCGCCAGCCACACTAAGCTCTGGTAAGCTCTCTTCAAGCTCCTAGAGCTGCTCACAAGGACAGAGGCACCCAGGCTGCAACAAAATTGAATCGACTTACTCTAGCGCCATCTTGCAATACGAAAACCGAAGCCGTCGTCAACAATGATCTCTGCGCCTTTTTACCAGAGATGTAGTTGAAACAGAGTTGAAGTTGCCATGAGCATTGCGTGCTTCGTCGATGTTATCAGCATCAGTGGTGATTTTGCCGATCGGCTGCCGCCGCCTGGTGAATCCTCCACTGGCACTGGCACCCGCAAACGTGATTGAACAGCTTCTGCTTGACGCTGGGTCTCCTTCCTGATTCGGGGGTTCAGACGAGGGGGAGGGGGCGGGGAGGAACGAGAGCGGGTCATCGGCGTCCCGGTGCCGACGTTTGGAAAAAGCCCGGAATCAAGATAGCCAGCGATAACAATTTTTCTCATGGAGAACGGCATACGGAAGTCTTTCCGGTGCGATTCGACTTCCAAACTTGCATCGACGGCCCCAGCATCCCGTCCCGTGACGCCGCATCGATCGTCGCCGTTAGCTGCGCAGCCCGGAGCTCAGACTGTCAGACATTTGATCAGTCGTCAAGGTCAACATGTTACATCATCTAGGTAAGGTAAGCTATCTAAGCTTTGGCTACCGTGAAGGCTAAAGGGCGCCTTTGCCGCCTGTCTTGGATTCGAGTCAAGAGACGCCCTCTTCCCGGTGGCTGCGCGCGTCGGCTAACGTCGGTGATCACGCAATTGATTGGGTCAATGTCGTCCAATCAGTCCTTTTCAGTACGGATACACTCCCTGGACAACCAACCACCACTCACCGAATCTGCCTTCTCGCAGCGGCAGCGCAAGTACAAAGTATATCAGACGTGACTGCCTACCTTATATTTTTTGCAGCCTCTCTCTCTCGTATGGCGGTGTGTTGTCTCACAGCTTTCAGCACAAATGTCTTGGGATAGCCATGTTTGGACTCATGCTTCAGGTGCTTCGTTGGCGCTGGAAGCAGAGGATCACCCCTGTCCAGTCGGCTCGTGATGATTATTCAGCTATTGTCGCACTTGCCCCGACATTCGGCCCCGGCTTCGGCCAAGTCGGCCTAACGCCGCCGGGAAAAGAGGCCCCCCACCGTCAAAGACTGGACGTCATGGCAATTGCGGGGATGGCGACCTCTTGATCTTGCGCTCCAGCACTTTTATCGCTTTTTTTTCGTTCCATCTTTTGAGGCGTTGTAGGAGCCTTGGAGGAGCACCACCACCACCACCATCATCGGCTTTTTTTTCGGCTGCACCATCGCACACCACCGGCTACAGCGAGGACCCCTGCCCTTTTTCTCGTGCCCGTGCAAGCCGTTGCATCCTGCACACCCTCACCGACTTCAACTCCCAAGCCTCTGCCGACAACGGACGTCCTTCGCCTGCGGTCTTTCAAGCATTACGCCGGCCCTGCCCCCATACGGAGTACGACGTTCCCTGCTACTACCCAGTACCCGCCCGATCGCCCGCCCGCTGCCGCCGTATCGCCTGGACCGGGCCCAACGTCCTTTCGCTTCAGCAACAGGGGGATGCGATGTAGCCGGCTCGCAGCGAGCGAGCGCATTGCTCCTTGGACCAAGTCTGAAGCCGAGAAAGAGGGAGACACGGGGCACCGCTCAAGCCGAACCAGCGTCCCCTAGGTAATAGCACTTGATCGTTTCCGAGACACTCGATGTCCGCGGTCATCCCATCTTGCTCCATCGCCGCAATGTAACAGAAGATTTCGTTGGCCACTTGATTTTGGCTCGCGTCTCGCGCTCCTCTTCGCTTGCCGTCATCACCGTCACGCACTTATCTCTAATGGCAATGCTGATGCGCACGCAGTCTGCGCTAGGTTATCGCAAGTCGTTCTTCCCATTACCTCTAGCGCTGGTTTGCCTTGCCAAGCCAACCTCTACGGCAAGCGGGAATTCCCATCTCTCAAGTTCTCCATCTAATCCCCGGGAGGCATGGCCATCTAAGGCCCCGTTCCCCAATTCGCGGTGGTCAGCCCCGTGGCCCCCTTCAAAAACGAAGCCCCGTCGGCCAGTCATCGACTAGAAATCTTCCGTCAGCAGAAAGAGCGGGGATCGGCGCAGGATCATGGATGGGGAAGGGAAGAGAAAAAATGAGTCTGCTCCCCTTGGACGCCGGGCTCATTGCACCCTTCACGCTTTATGGGGTCCCTACTAAGGAACTGCAAGAACTGCAAGAACTGGGGGGGATGACTGCGGTTCCATGAATTCGCATACCCACGCTATTCCCTGTCCGGCGCAGTGCAGCCGCAAGCCTGCAGCTGGAAAGTGGATCAATGCCGTTGGTTTTTTGTTTGCGCTTGACGAACCGTCTTTTTTCTTCGCCTTCCACTGCCACTGCTCTTGTGACTCTTTTTGTCCTCTCCTTCCCCAAATTCTCCAATAACCTTTGCCTTTGGTTTAAAGAAGGCGGTGGCCGCCTCCGGTTCATATTTCCTGCCATTTGCCTTTGTCTCTCGACATCTTGTTGCCAAACCGCATAGCAGAGCGCATCCTATTACCCCGCTGCTTTTTTCCCACCTACCTTAGATTAGACTCTTGCTTCACGTCCTAGTCCCGATTCATCTGCCCTCGACCTCGTAAACTCGACGTCACAGAACTTTGACCACGCATAATCGAACCGTAGAGCTCGGGTTTGCTCAGCGCGATTTGGTTGCTCCTTCAACTGCCGAAATGACGAAACCGACAAAGCCAAAGTTGCCCGCGAAGCAGCTGGCCATTCTGGGTAAGGCAACCTCGCATTTCAGAACATGTCAAACGCTTGCTTTTTCTTTCAAACCCGCCTTCAACAGATCCGATAGTACCGGTGACAACCAAAGCGAGGCAAGTGCCGCGAGACCAGGCATGACGGTCTCCGAAAAACTTCAGGGTCATGCGATGGAAGGATTGCGATTTTCTTGGGATCGCCTTGGTAGACTACGAGGTTATGGACGGGTGGAAATCTGCGTGTTCTCGCCTTGTTACCGCCACTCTGTCTTTAGACACACGTACTCCAAACCTACCTCGAAATGCGACTATAGCATGGTCTTGATCTTCCAAGCTGCCTGATCAACGTGAATCGATGAGGCCGACAAACGTCACCAAGCCGAAAGTGCTCCAGCGTGTACAAAAAGCTGGAATAAAGGATGGAGATTTGACAACAACTCGTCCCAGGGTGCCTTCGATACTCCATGAGAGGCATTCATCATTTTTCTTCTGGGCCCCGAAGCTAATTCGATTACAGCCGTTGCGCGGTTTGCGGAGCCTCTCGCCCTCACATCCGTCTTCCCATACCTGCCCGAGATGATTCGCAGTTTCGGCGTGGAACAGAACGACGTCGCAAAATGGGCCGGTATCACGTCCGCCGTGTTCTCGCTTTCACAGAGTGTAACTGCGGTACCGTGGGGTAGAGCTTCTGATCGATTTGGAAGAAAACCAACCATCATCGTCGGCCTGCTATCAACAATGTTCTTCTTCTGTGTTTGGGGTGTTTCAACAAGTCTGCCCATGGCCATCACTGTGAGAGCTATTCTCGGAAGTGGTAACGGAAATGGTGCGTTTCCCTCTGATCTGTAGGGTTTTCATCTGACGCTGACACTGGATTAGTTGGTATCATCCGCACCATGGTTGCAGAGATGGTGCCAGAAAAGGAACTACAACCCCGTGCATTCTCGATTATGCCTCTCATCTGGTCCGTTGGCTCCATCTTCGGCCCGGCGTTTGGCGGGTTCTTTGCCAGACCAGCCGACCGCTTCCCCGCTGTCTTTGGCGGTAGCTGGTTTTTCAAGGCGTATCCCTTTGCCTTGCCAAACTTCATCGCTGCGGTCTTCTTCTTCATCTCAGTCACGACCGCCACTCTCTTCCTCAAGGAAACGCTCGAGAGCAAGCGACACAAGCCCGACTGGGGACTCCTGATGGGCGAACGCATCACTCGCTCGTTCCGCCGCTCTCGTTATCACCATCATCACCATGCTAGAGCTCGACGCACCTCGTTTGTTGACGGCGAGGCTACCGCACCCCTGGTGCCTCACAAGACTCCCCCAACACATCCGGTCGATGACAACAAGGCTCTGGAGGCACCCAGCATGAAGGAGGTTTTCACTGCTCAGACGAGTATCAACTTGCTTTGCTACACCTTCCTCGCCCTCCACTCCGTGGCCTTTGATCAGGTTCTGCCAGTGTTCCTAAACTACCCCAAGCAGGTGCACACCCCGGATAACACGAACCTACCCTTCCAATTTTCTGGTGGCTTTGGCCTCGACTCTGGCCGCATCGGTACCATTTTCACCATCTATGGCATCACTTGCGGCGTGATCCAGTTTTTCGTCTTCCCACCTCTGTGCAACTACTTTGGTGTCCTGCGTTGTTTCCGCGCATGTGGTGCGTATCCTATCTTCTGCTATGTATGTTGCATTTGAAATTGACCGTCTGTGCAGCCGTGACTTTTCCCATCGTCTACATTCTGGCCCCTTATGTGGTCCTCTTCGAGAGCACTGCAGGGCGCTATACCGCTCTCTTGATAGTCATGTTCGTCAAAGCCTGTGCCGTAATCATTGGCTTCCCGTGCATGACCATCCTCCTGACCAACTCGGCCTCTTCGCTCCGTATCCTGGGTACCCTCAACGGCTTCGCGACTATGTTCAGTGGATTCGGCCGTGCTTTCGGTCCCGCCGTTGCGGGTGCCGCTTTCAGCTGGGGTGTTGCCAGAGGCTATGTCATCACCGCTTACTGGTTCCTCGCGCTCACTGCCATCATTGGAGCCATCCCCATCTACATGCTGGTCGACTACGATGCTCTGACTCAGACCCCTGACACGAGCGATGACGAGGATGAGAGTGTTAGCGATGAGGGCTACGCCAGCGAAGGCAGTGCTGTTGCTTCTGGCAGTGGACAGGCCACCTCGAATGAAACGGCGCCTTTGTTGAGTGCTAAGAATGGGGCACCGGGATACGATTCCGTCAGTCCCACGCGGTCTTGATGTGCCTATTTACCCCTTGGTGGCTGGCATGCTGCTTTCATGTTTTTCGCAAGCGCGCAATTGACGTTTCGAACGAGAATGATACAAGAAGGAAACGCTATATACGAGATCTACGGCCAGCTCTTCTGGGGGGTTTGAAATTAGGCTGGCATTGGTTGGTGCTTTTCTTACCTTTGTGGCATATCTAGGTCCATCATTGCCTGGCGTCTAGCATTGCAGGTTCCGTAACGGCTTGTTTTGTTGTCATTGAGGGCATTCATTTTGGTTTGGTTCTGGGCGGTTATCAAAAGCATCATTATTGTTCGGTTTCGTTGCAGGCACTTGAACACATCTACATGGACATTGCTCTTTACGAGAAGAAGTTTCGAACCAATTATAGCAGCTTAATATCACAAACATGTCAACAATTGGTTTAGAATGGAATATGGTGTCGAAGATGGTGAGTGATGAGCGTTTGCTTACATGTTACAGACAGATCGGCCGACGCATGATGAAGATGGCCTAGTTTATCTTCTTGGAACGTAACGCAAGTACGTTTGCGTATGGTTATACATCAACAAGATTATCACGTGAGAACCAGCAAAGGGAACGAAGAGTCATGATCATTGAAACCAGTTTTGAATTTTTCTTTTCTCCTCGAGAGAAGGTTTTTTTGGTATTCAGTTCGCTGCATCATCCATCTCAAGAGGCGTCTCAGGCCCGACCACCCCTTTTTCTCCCATAGACTCCGAAAACTCCGCTATACTGAAGCACTACCGCCCTGCCCAAAGCCCGTCTTTTGCTTCGCCCTCCCCTTCGGAAAGGGTGAGGGTGTAGAGGCTGATTTTCTATTTTGTATCCTCCCAAGTCCCATTTTGCCCACTTTGATTTTCATCAACCCCTATTTGTTTGGTCCACCCATATTGGTTAAGAAAGAAGAAAATATTCTCAATTGACATCTTTGTTATCCGTTTTCTCATGTCGCGTGGTAGCCTACTGCTAGTACTACTACGAGCTAGCTAGATTCTTTACCGTTTTTCAGGCAAAGAGCTTCTTCTCGTAGGACTCCATGTTGACGTTACCCTCCATCTGAGCGCTGGCGGTACGGAGCTCGAAGCGGAGGGTGCCGTTGTCGACGGACTCGCGGAGCTCCTTGAGGGACTGGATACCACAGTCCTGCATGGAGTGCTTGAGGCCGGCGGAAAGGTAGGGGATGAAGCGGCTGATGGGGCCGCGGTGGGCGACAGAGCCGGTGACGCCCTGGGCGACGAGGACGCTGTCGCCTTCAGAGAAGTAGCGGGCGGTGCCGGCGTTGCTCTTCTGGCTGTCCTTGCCGCCGTTGCCGGCCTTCTTGTCCTGCATGGCGTCGATGGAGCCCATGCCGCGGTAGGCCTTGACGAGCTTGCCCTCGCGGGAGACGAAGGAGGTGCCGGGGGACTCGGTGGTTCCGGCGAGGAGACCGCCCATCATGACGGTGGAGGCGCCGAGGGAGAGACCCTTGACGACGTGGCCGACGTTCTGGACGCCGCCGTCGGCGATGCAGGGGACGCCGAAGCGGGCGGAGAAGCTGCTGACGGAGTGGACGGCGGCGGCCTGGGGGCGGCCGACGGCCATGACCTCCTGGGTGATGCAGGCGGAGCCGGAGCCCATACCGATGCGGAGGCCGTCGACGCCGGCCTCGATGAGGGTGGCGGCCTGCTCGCGGGTGACGACGTTTCCGCCGACGACGTCGAGGCCGGGGAACTCCTTCTTGATCCACTGGACCATCTCGACCTGGTACATGGAGTTACCCTGGGAGGAGTCGAGGATGACGACGTCGAGGCCGGCGTCGACGAGGAGCTTGAGGCGGTGCTTGTCCTCGGGGCGGGTGCCGATGGCGGCGCCGCAGAGGAGCTGCTTGCTGTCGGGCAGCTTGGAGGCCAGGGGGAAGTGCTGGTTCTTGTTGAGGTCGGAGCGGGAGATCATGGAGACGAGGTTGCCGTCCTTGTCGACGATGGGGAGCTTGCCCTTCTTGGACTTTGCGAGGATCTTGTTGGCCTCGGACAGGTCGGTGCCGTCGGAGGCGGTGATGAGGTCGGTGACCATGACCTTGGAGATGGAGAGGGAGGCGTCGTCCTCGAACTGAATGTCGCGGTTCGTGACGATTCCCAGCAGCTTGGAGCCGAGCTTGCCGGTTTCTGCAGACAATTATTAGCCATGTCTGTCCTGTGGCGAGGCCGTAGCCTGCTGCGGTTGATAACAATGTGTAAAAAGGGTTTGCTTTGATCATAGTATAAGGTCTCCTCAGAACGACATGGTCGTCGAATTGGTGGAACGAAAGTTATAATTGAAAAAGGTTTGTAATCATGTAAAGCGAAGGAAACTGAAGCTTGTGGGAGAACAGGCTTTGGTAGGTAAGGGGAAAAAAAGGGGAGGAGGGGTTGACAAACCTGTGACGGGGAATCCTCCGAAACCCCACTTCTCCTTCAAGGCCTTTGCCTCGCCGACGGTGGTGTCGCGGCTGATGACGACGGGGTCGATGATGAAGCCGTTCTCGTAACGCTTGACCTTGCGGACCATGTCGGCCTGCTCCTCGGGGGAGCAGTTGTGGTGGATGACACCGAGACCACCCTGCAGAGCAATGGCGATGGCCATCTCGTGCTCGGTGACGGTGTCCATGGGGGAGGACACGAAGGGGGTCTTGAGGGTGATTCTCTTGGTGACGGGGGAGTCCAGAACGACGGCAGAGGCGGGGAAGCCAATGTAGCCGGGGAGGAGCAGGAAGTCGTTGTAGGTCAGACCACCGTGCTTCTTGGTGTCCATGAGCTCGTGAATGTCGAGGCCATCGCGGCTCTCGTACTCCTTCAAGACCTGGAGGGCGGTCTTGGAGTCGAGCACCTTGGCGCCGGTGATACCGTTGGTGGAAGGCATCTTTTGTGTGAGAGAGAAGTTTTCTCGTTTTCTTACCGAGTGAACAGAAGAAAGATGAAAACGGAGTCGAAGAACTTGCTAGTAATTCGAAAAGAAGACCAAAGGCAACAGAAAAGCTTGGTCGATTCGAAAACTAAGGTTGGTTATGTCTCTTCTTCCCGTAAGAAAGAAGGGAAAAAAATTCTTGAGACGACACCCCGCAGGAAATTTTTTAAAGTGAACGGTGCGCGACCGGCGGAAGGAGGGGCAGGAGGGGCAGGCGGTGAGAGGCTACAGTGCGGCGCAACTCCTTCGAGTGTGCCTTTACTGTGTTCAGCACCACCGCAGTATTGTTTTCCCAGTCCATCCAATCTATTCCCATGAGATGGCTTGTTTCGTTAATGAAGGAGATGGCATTATGTCTGGTATTCTGTTCGCTTGCGCTATACTTGACCATCTGACATTTTCGTTCATGAAAAAGGGGTTTCAAAATGCCAGACGCCCAGAACAAGTATGGAATAGTGCCGCCAAGTCAGGTAGCAGCCGGTAGATCTGACATTGCCTTATGTAAGAAACATTCGGGGTCTCGACTCGCGAGATATGACGCAACCCCACTGGGCACCTTGGTGGCCGAGAAAAAAAACAGTCGGGATGGGGAACAAGAAAATCCAGCCAAGTGTGCTTGATATTTGCAACAATGAGAGAGAACGTTTTTGCTGTCAACTGTTGACACAGGACCTCATTAGTGCAGATGAGAATTTTCTGTCCAGACGGAACCCAAGGTGCCTTGTCGAGAAGAGTCCTGTAGAGTTTGCTTGTGTTCGTAGCCTTTGGTTGGCCAGAGCAACCGACGCAGGACAATCCTTGCTCGGGCTGCGTGAGTTGGACAGACCCCAGCGCCAGCAGAAGTGATTGCATGCTTCCGTTCGGGAGCGAAAGGCGGTGGGATGCTGAGGAATCAAGATGCCATAGCAGCGAAGAGTCGAGTACTGAGGATTGATCCTCATGTTTTTCTTTCTGGCATCTACCTAAGTATAGCTTTCTAGCATACAGAATGATCTAAAGCGACCTCCATGCTGAGCCTCTTGTACAGTCGAGCCTAGGGGACGCTTAGGATTCATCGAATGGAATGTGCATCCATCATAACTTGGATCATGTATCACCTGCTACTAAATAAAGCTAACGTGCGCTACCTAGACTCTAGAAACGTCGTTCATCCATTGTGAGCTGAGATCGAGGGTTCGGAACAGTGACCTCATGTCAACATGAGAACAATGGTGGGCTCTGATTGGCTGTTCCATGGTCCGTAACACCAGAAGCAACAAAGAAAAGAAACAAGACCAAACAGCGGACCAGATACTAATAGCCAAATGAACGAATGCACAAAATAAAAACATTTCTCGCCTACGTATCCGTACTAAGGATTACTCGGACTGTCCAAACGACTATATCGCTCGTATTGGCGGGTCCATTGACTGCTGCACGTAGGCGTTTTACAAACAGTGACATGCATCGAGCTAGAGAATGGGGAGGTGCCACAGATAAAAGACCGAGTTTTGGAGGGGAGGTATACATCACGGCGTGTCTGTCCTACGATCCCTCGATCGTGTTGACATCGTTCTTGCAAAGGTATTCCCCGCTGTTTTCTATCTCACAACCTTGACGTCGTCAATGATGTCTACAATCTTGGTTCATCCATAGGGTTGAGCAATGTTCCCCGGGCGACAGGAAATTCAATCAGGTTAGATTGGACGACGTGTCAAAGGTTATGGACGGGGAATCCGTAGTCAATGGCATCTGTCAAAAGAGGTCAGATGAGAGCGGCGACGGTTTGGCCCGCAGTCAGTGACAGGTTTTTCCAAGGGAAGTGCCTGAACATGTTGACCAGATCGACCTTGCAGCTTTGGGCCTCACCGGACCATTTGTATTGTTGACCAGAAACCTTTTGGGGCAAGTTGGGACAAGTTTGAGAAGCGCCTGGCCCAGAGAAAAGCAGATGACAACCCAATTGACAGAGAGCGGAGGCGGGGCGGAGGGCCGTGCAACGGAAGATTGCTGCATCGGTCCCCACTTTAAAAGGCCGGGCGGGTGCGACGCAGGGGCCAGCAAGAGCCACAAGCCACCCGAATTTC